TCATGGAACCATATCACACCTGATATTGTACACAGTACAAAACTCTGTATCCCTAAGGAGAAAACGATGACAAAAGGCACACTCCAAAAGCACCTCCTCCTGAAAAATCATCTTCCAGTGATTCAGTAGATGAAGAAGCAGCAGAATCTGATGCGCCACCTATGTTAGAGAAAGAGCACCTGTCAGATGCAGAAAATAATAACACTTGTAATGAACAGACAAATGTAGATAATCAGCCTGCTAATTGCTTGAAAAATTGCAGCAGCGAGCAAATAGAAAAAAGTGAGGAACATACTGAGAATAATGATGTAGAAAAAGAAACAGAATCTTCTCATTCCGAGTCTTGTACTCAAGATCCTCTGGGACTAGTTGAAGAGAAGGAAGAAGTTAAAAAATTTGAGAACACAGGAATAGAGGATAAAAGTTTATGTTTAAAAAGTGATATTTCTAAAAATATTTTTGAAGAAGAAAGTGATGCATTGGAAAATCAAGACCAGATAACTGGACTCTCAGAGGTAAAGGCAGATATATGTACAGATAATCCTCCAAATGATTTTTTTACATGTTCAGGACCTGAAATTGAAGAACAACAATCTGTATCTAGTCCCCTAAGTGAATTACCGGATAATTCAGAGTTAGTAACTAATAAAGAAAAAATTATAGAGAATTCCATAGTAGAAATTATTGATCATAAAGATACCGCAGTAAAAATAGAAGAGTTTGTAGAGAGCACCAAGTTAGAATCTTTTGAGGGAGAAATTATACAAACAGTGGACAAAAAGTCTGTTGAGAGCTCAGACATCGAATTCCTTGAGCATGTTAAAACCGAAAGTACTGAAATAACTATAACTTATGATACTTCCGAAAATGAAAATATCAATAGTATTCAGGACTCTGAAAATAATTTTAAAAACAATAACACCATCAACGAGGGCATATCACTAGAAGAAAAGACTGAATCGCTGGTTGTACATCCCAGATCTATAGAGTTGTCTAATACACACACTGATCAGCTTCAGAAGCCTTTTAGTGAAGACAATAATGAAATGATACCTATGGAGTGTGATTCATTTTGCAGTGATCAAAATGAATCTGAAATTGAACCATCTGGAAATGCTGATTCTAAACAATTGAATGAAAATTCCATAGCAGACAACTCTGAAAACAATATGCCATCATCTGTTCCTGCAAATGAAAATGTTGAAACTGTATCTCAACCATCTGAAAGCCCAATAGATACGGTAGATAAAACCAAAAAGCCTCGTACACGAAGATCTAGATTTCATTCCCCATCTACAACATGGTCTCCCAACAAGGGCAGTGCACAAGAGAAGAAGCGATCTCAGTCTCCATCTCCCAAAAGAGAAACTGGAAAAGAGAGCAGGAAGTCTCAGTCACCATCTCCTAAGAAAGAATCTGCCAGAGGGCGGAGAAAATCTCGTTCTCAGTCCCCAAAAAAAGATGTCACAAGAGAAAAGAGGCGATCTCAGTCTCGGTCTCCAAAAAGAGATAGTACCAGAGAAAGCAAACAATCTGAGTCATTGTCCCCAAGAAGAGATACTTCTAGAGAGAACAGAAGATCTCAGTCAAGAGTGAAAGATTCCTCCCCAAGAGAGAAGTCCAGGTCCCAGAGCAGAGAAAGAGAAGGTGATAGAGATGGGCAAAGGAGAGATCGAGATAGAGAAAGGAGAACCAGAAGGTGGTCTAGGTCCAGATCTCGTTCTAGGTCACCATCAAGATCTAGAACAAAATGTAAGAGTTTATTATTTGGTAGAAATGACAGAGATAATTACCCTCCCCGGTGGAAGGAAAGATGGACAAATGATGGTTGGAGATGTCCACGAGGGAATGATAGGCACAGAAAGAGTGACCCAGAGAAACAGAATGAAAATACAAGAAAAGAAAAAAATGACATCAATCCAGATACTGATGATCCAAATTCCACTGACAAACATAGAAATGACTGCCCCAGTTGGGTAACAGAAAAAATAAATTCTGGGCCTGATCCGAGAACCAGAAATCCAGAAAAGTTAAAAGACTTTCACTGGGAAGAAAATAGAAATGAAAATTCAGGGAATTCTTGGAACAAAAACTTTGGTTCAGGTTGGATGTCTAACCGTGGTAGAGGTAACCGTGGCAGAGGCACATACAGAGGTAGTTTTGCCTATGCAGATCAGAACAAAAATAGGTGGCAAAACCGAAAACCCCTCTCAGGGAATTCAAACAGTTCAGGGAATGAGTCTCTCAACTTTATGGAACAGCAGCCCTATAAGCGGAAAAGTGAGCAAGAGTTTTCATTCGATACACCTGCAGATAGATCTGGGTGGACATCTGCATCTAGTTGGGCTGTGAGAAAGACTCTGCCAGCCGATGTGCAAAATTATTATTCACGAAGAGGCAGGAATTCTTCAGGTCCACAGTCTGGATGGATGAGACAAGAGGAGGAAACAACTGAACAAGGTAATAAAATACTCTGTCCTTTATTGATTCTGTTTTATTTGAAGAAAGATGTTATAAACTTAATAACTTATTTGTAAAAATTGGAATGATCTTTTTTCATAGTCTTTACAGTGCTAAACTGAGCCCTAGTCATTACAAGTGACTTTGCATTTGTATAAATATATTAGAGGACTTTAAAAAGTTTGTAGAAAATGGAATTTAGGTACAAGTTTACATTGGTACAAATGTTTTTTTAAATCTATGCATTGTCTTTTCAAAATATACCTTTTTTATGAACTTCTTGAAGACCCATTTTATATACACATACACATATATATGTAAGTATTTAGTTAAAAAGAAAAAACAAAAACAGTCCCATCCTGGGCCAGCTGGGGGTGTGTGGTAAAGAAGGCTAGATCCCACACGGCCAACTACATGGTTCAAGTTCAGGACTGATAGCTGATGTCTTGAAAAATATGCTGGGTGTGTGTGTGTTCGTCCCTGAAATTTCAAAAGGAGAGAGAAATGGAGAAGGTATTGCAACGTGACCATCCCCCTTTCAGGGTACTTTATTACTTTCTCTCAGGCTATAGCAAATTAAAAAAAAAAAAAAAAGTCTGTCCCTTCTCTAGCCCTTGCCAAAGACTTAAATATTTTATATGCTGTTTGCTTCAGTAGAAGAGTTTATAATTCTTCTATGCAGTTTAACTTCTATTTTATTTATTTCAGATGTGTGCACTTTGGTTTTTTTTTACCATTGTTCTTATACAAATAAGTCATCCTTCTACAAATATGTATCTTTCCTTGATTTCTCTTAAGAATGTTGCAAGTGAAAGAACTATTGATGACATAAAAAGTTGACTAGACTTACATAATTTAGTAGTCAATTAAGTTTTATATGATTTAAAAATAACTAATTAGTTTTTTGCTAATGTTTATATATATGTACATATACATACATATTAAGAGAAATTTTTGCTGTAGGGTGCGTGCACTCACTAGAGAGACAAAGAGAGATAAAGTGAGAAATCCCCCCCTTGGGGGGGGGGTGGCCACACCACAATCTCTTCTCTATTCTCCTCCTTGGATTTTGAGCACATTGGTGTGTGCCTGGCATGAATTTCAAGCTTTTGAGTCCATAACTCGAACCGCGGTCAACCACCTGGGAGTACAATGCCATAACCACTGTGTCCAAGTTTACTTGATCTATTAACTGGTATTTAATTTTACCATAACCAGTGCTTCTTTGCTTCTGTCTTAAAGAGCTTTGTAATGTGATATTATTTTTTCACAAGCCTTTTTTCTTTTGATAGATTCTAACCTAAAAGACCAAACAAACCAACAAGTTGATGGTTCTCAACTTCCTATAAATATGATGCAACCACAAATGAATGTAATGCAGCAACAAATGAATGCACAACACCAGCCTATGAATATTTTCCCATATCCAATGGGTGTTCATGCTCCTTTGATGAACATCCCGCGCAATCCATTTAGCATGCATCCTCAGCTACCCTTGCATCTCCATACAGGAGTGCCTCTCATGCAGGTAGCTGCTCCTACCAATGTATCTCAGGGACTGCCGCCACCACCACCCCCTCCCCCGCCATCCCAGCAGGTCAACTACATTGCTTCACAGCCAGATGGAAAGCAATTGCAGGTATGTTATTAGAAACTCAAGTTTATATACATAGCCATTGTAAAGATTTAGCTTTTAGGGGCAGAAGTTTAAGAAAGAGCTTCCTGGTATCCAAAAACAATTGTTTAAGTTATTTCACAGGAAACTTTTATAATCCCTCTTTCATTGTCCTTCTTTAAACCCCTAATCCACAAATAAGAAAATCTGTTGAACATTCATCAAATCCCAGCTACATATGTGCTGTAATTTTATCCAGATTTTTTGTCAGGTTAAAAAGACCAAATTAAGAACCAAATGATAGGTGCCTTAAAGTTTTTCCTTCTTTTTTTGGACTTTTGGGTCGTGGCGGGTGGTGAAACCTAGTGAATAAGAACTGTGGTGAAGCTTGTGTATTTTTTTGTTCAGACTGATGCTAGAGAAAGCTCTTCATTATCCATCACCACCTGGGTATTGTTTTCATGATTTTGCCATGCTAAAAAGAAAGAAGTACCTCTGTGAGACATAGAAAATTTGAATAATTTGCAAACAGTGCTGCTTATAGTTTTATGTCTGCCTTTCAGAAATTCTAGAATCCTGACACTAGGCGAATGGGATTTTAGAATTTGCTATCTTTTATCTTTTTCTGCTGTCAACTCACTGCAAGCCATTTGTCTTTACTGCCTTTTTTCTCCAGTCTTTAGAGTGGTGGCACCTTATTAGTATTCCTAAAGAACCTTCCAAGAAAGATACAAATCTTTAAATGTTTTCTTCTTGTTGCTTTTAGTGTTGCCATCAGAACATTACACATGTATAATTTAAAAGTCATCTTCACATGTTTAAATAAGGTTCTGTTTAAAAATGTTACTTACTCATCTTTCTTCAAATGGTCCTTGAGATATAAATAACCCAAAATATGCATTTCCTCTTAAATATTAAGATGGAGTCACTTTATTATTTCTAGTGTTATTTCTAGTACATGTCTACAATACTTTTATTGAGTATAAGTAATTTGTTAACTTACGGTAACTCTTTAAAACAGGGTATTCCTGGTGCTTCTCATGTAAGTAGTAACATGACCGCACCAGTCTTGCCTGCTCCGACAGCTGCTCCAGGAAATATGGGAACAGTTCAGGGACCAAGTTCTGGTAATACTTCATCATCAAGTCACAGCAAAGCCTCTAATGCTGCTGTAAAATTGGCAGAAAGCAAAGTAAGTGTTACTGTGGAAGCCAGCGCAGATAGCTCGAAGACAGACAAGGCAAGTTCAAGGTTGAGAGCAACCTACATAATTCTGTATATGATAAAGGTGAAAACACTGTCAGTTTCCTGTTGTATGTGTGGTGAAAGGAATTGATTGTTGGTATTCTTAAATTCTAGTATTATTTGAAGGGTTCTATCTAGACCCGATGAATTAGTGATAATATTACATAATTATTTTTAGAAATGTTTGATATGTATGTTAATGTTTTGTATTTGATATGCTAATATTCAGAGTCCTGCTGA